GGGCGGCCGAGGGCGCGGGCAGAGGGCGCAGGACAGAGGGCGCGGGGTGGTCGAGGGCGCAGGGCCAAGGGTGCAGGCCACAACAGGAATGACTGGGCAGGGACAATGAAGACTCTCCAGGGAGGCTGTGAGGATGGGGGGCAGTCTCTCTTGGGGAACGTCCCCTGAACAGGAGCCCCCGATGTGTGACGGGCATGAGGAGTGGGCGGCCTGCCCTCAAGTGCCACCTTAGCTCAGCATCCACGAGGTAGCACCGGCTGCAGGGGCAGTGGCGATCCACAGAGATTCGCTCCCAGTTGTGAAGACTGACCAGGTCGGCAGGGCTGGGCCTGGGGCCCTCTGGGTTTTGGGGTGTCCTGTGTAAGGGCTTGGCCGTCGTCTATGTTGGCGGCTGTGACCGGGACACAGACACACGGCCCAGAGCACCCATCATGGCTCCTCCAATCCGCACTCACAGCCTCGTCCCCTCCCCGAGGCCCACCCCCGATACTGGTGTTTTGGAGATCGGGACCTCGGCGTGCGCATCTTGGGGGGTGCAGTGCTTAGTCCCCATGCTGCTGAGATACCCAGAGAAGAGCCACGCTCCGTCACGCGTGGGATGCGTGAGCTTCGCAGTCTGTGTCCCTCCGAGTTCTGCTGCTTGTTCATGTCCCTTGGCCACGCTTCGCTCGGGTGGCATCACAGCAGTCCCTGGCACCCTGCGTCCTTTCTGTCTGCCCCTGCACACAACGCTCGCTGGCTCCTGCCCTGAAGGACGGAGAGACAGGCCGGACGGAGCTGCCAGCTATGCCAGAGGCGAGCTTGGGCAGGAGACGCCACGACAGACCCGAGGGCCCAGCACATGGCAGTGCGGCCAGGGACGTATCCAGTACCCACATCCGAGAGCCACGCCTTAGTCCTGGCCACTCCTGGCTCGAGAGGGCAGCCAGCGGGATGAAAGGGCAGGGCCACGGGTGCTCTCAGGGGCCAGCTCCGGTACATCGGGGAGAAGAGTGTGTTCCAGAGATGCTAGGTCTTGTCCCAGCGCCGGCACGATCAGCGTTACTGTTACCACTGCTACGGGAAGGAGCTTCTCGTGTGTAGCCAGTTACAGGAAGATCAGCGAGCACCACCACACGGTCTCCGAGGGCGCAGCACGACCTCGGCGTTCACAGGCCCCAGACTCGAGCAGATGCCGGCACCTCCCCGACACCCGGAGCCCACCGCCTTCCGCTGCCTGCATAACTGCCCGGCCTCCTTCACACCCTGCCCTGGCTTCCGACTGACCTCTGGTTGCTCTCCTGTGACTCATGACCATTTTTCAGTCCAAACCGTCAGGTACCAACTTAGTCACCTCGAGTCATTTGGGGAACTTGGCTCCTGCCATAGGGAGTCCCAGCAGCCCTGCGGAGACGGGGCTCTTAACCTGCGTCTCACAGAAACGCCCACAGGCTCGTCAAGGTGACTCCGCAGTGCCCGAGAGGAGCCACGTGCTGTCGGCGTCGGACTGCAGGCGTGGAGTGGGCAGGGTTTTGCTGGACCTGCCTGACCACTGCCCTCTGCCCATCTACGTGGACAGTTGTCAGTGGCTCTGAAACTGGGGTGCCCAGGAGCACGCGAGTACCCATTCCTCATGGAGGCCGGGCGCCTGCTGGACCCGCATCCTGCCTCATGCCATCGGAGAGCTGTCACGCTGCTCCAGACCTCGGGGGTCCTGTCATTCCGCAGAGAAGCCTGGAGCCTGTCAGACCAAGCCGTGTCCTGGCCGCCTCTCTGCCTGTGAGCACAGGAGCGCCTGTTGCCCGTAGTCTCCCTGGTCCTTGCTGCTTTCTCTCAGCCTTGCCCCGAGGCTCTTTCAGCCTCTCTCCACCTTTCTCTGCCTGCCAGCTCACCTCATGAAGGCGAAAATCCAAACGCAGTGGCACTCTGGTTGGTCCCCCGGAGTACGGGAAGGAGCGGGCTGCCGAAGCACGGATTCCAGGTGACGGTGTCGCTCGGAGGCCCTGAGCTGCGCGAGTGCACCTGCTCGTCCAGGGCCACCTTGTTCTGCCGTGGACCGAGAGGATGCGGGCAAACGCTCTCCGTAACAACCTCGCTCTTCCCCTTCCTGGCAATCCTGGGCTCCAGACTGTGCCTCTGTGTGGATGCAGGGTGACACGGCAGTTCAGGGCAACGTCTTGTACAGAGGATGCTCACGTTCTTCGGGCCTGTCGGAGCCTGTCGGGAGCTCAGTGAAGGGTGACGCCTTCTGAGCCCTTCCAGCCGCAAGCATGCCTCACCTGCCCGCGGCCACATGTCTGTCCAGGGCTGGTACGTGGGCAGTGTCCACTGACGCCTCCTCCCTCTCTGCGCCCTCGGAGGAGAGGTTGAGTCCGTGGGACAGAGTGGAGCCTCCTTTCTCCCCAGGGACAGGGCGGGCAGACTGCAGTTTCCCATCCTCTGAACACAAACCCCAAGAGCTCTAGGGTCGTGTCCCAGGAGTGGACGAGCCGCCGTGAGGCCGGACAGAGACCTGTAGGATGAGCCCTGACTGCGAGGTCATGCCATCCTGCAGTCGGGAGGAGGGTGTCTAAGACACGAGACGCCAACGTGGCAGGTCTCGTGCTTCCCTGAGCCACCTCGCAGCTGCAGCACTGGAGGGCAGTGTGCGAGAAGGTGCTGGGTGAAGCAGCCAGCCTCGCAGGGCTCGGATAATCACTTATGCTGTACAGTTAGAATAGTGATACTGTGAACATGTAGCATGGGAAGTGTTATATGGTAGTTAGTAGGGTGACACCGTGCCTGGGTGCTCCGCCCTGCTGTACGGTTACATGGTAGTTAGTAGGGTGACAGCGTCCCGGGGTGCTCCACCCCTGCTGTACGGTTACATGGTAGTTAGTAGGGTGACACCGTCCCAGGGTGCTCCACCCCTGCCGTACGGTTACATGGTAGTTAGTAGGGTGACACCGTCCCGGGGTGCTCCACCCTGCTGTATGGTTACATGATAGTTAGGGTGACACCATCCCAGAGTGCTCCACCCCTGCCGTATGGTTACATGGTAGTTAGTAGGGTGACAGCGTCCTGGGGTGCTCCACCCCTGCTGTACGGTTACATGGTAGTTAGTAGGGTGACACCGTCCTGGGGTGCTCCACCCCTGCTGTATGGTTACATGGTAGTTAGTAGGGTGACAGCGTCCCGGGGTGCTCCGCCGTATGGTAGGGTGACACTGTCCCGGGGTGCTCCACCCTGCCGTATGGTAGGGTGACACTGTCCCGGGGTGCTCCGCCGTGCTGTACGGTTACATGGTAGATAGTAGGGTGACACTGTCCCGGGGTGCTCCGCCGTGCTGTACGGTTACATGGTAGATAGTAGGGTGACACTGTCCCGGGGTGCTCCGCCGTGCTGTACGGTTACATGGTAGATAGTAGGGTGACACTGTCCCGGGGTGCTCCGCCGTGCTGTACGGTTACATGGTAGATAGTAGGGTGACACTGTCCCGGGGTGCTCCGCCGTGCTGTACGGTTACATGGTAGATAGTAGGGTGACACTGTCCCGGGGTGCTCCGCCGTGCTGTACGGTTACATGGTAGATAGTAGGGTGACACTGTCCCGGGGTGCTCCGCCGTGCTGTACGGTTACATGGTAGATAGTAGGGTGACACTGTCCCGGGGTGCTCCGCCGTGCTGTACGGTTACATGGTAGATAGTAGGGTGACACTGTCCCGGGGTGCTCCGCCGTGCTGTACGGTTACATGGTAGATAGTAGGGTGACACTGTCCCGGGGTGCTCCGCCGTGCTGTACGGTTACATGGTAGATAGTAGGGTGACACTGTCCCGGGGTGCTCCGCCGTGCTGTACGGTTACATGGTAGTTAGTAGGGTGACACCGTCCTGGGGTGCTCCACCCCTGCTGTATGGTTACATGGTAGTTAGTAGGGTGACAGCGTCCCGGGGTGCTCCGCCGTGCTGTACGGTTACATGGTAGTTAGGGTGACAAAGTTAGGGTGACAATGTCCAGGGTGCTACACCCCTGCGATATGGTTACATGGTAGTTAGTAGGGTGACACCATCCCAGGTGCTCTGCCCTGCTGTACAGTTACATGATAGTTAGGGTGACACCGTCCCGGGGTACTCCATCCCTGCTGTATGGTTACATGGTAGTTAGTGGGGTGACACCGTCCCGGGGTGCTCCGCCCTGCAGTACGGTTACATGGTAGTTAGGGTGACACAGTCCTGGATGCTCCACCCCTGCGATACAGTTACATGGTAGTTAGTAGGGTGACACAGTTCCGGGTGCTCCACCCTGCCGTACGGTTACATGGTAGTTAGTAGGATGACACCGTCCCGGGGTTCTCTGCCCTGCTGTACGGTTACATGGTAGTTAGGGTGACAATGTCCAGGGTGCTACATCCCTGCAGTATGGTTACATGGTAGTTAGTAGGGTGACACAGTCCCGGGTGCTCCACCCTGCCGTACGGTTACATGGTAGTTAGTAGGATGACACCGTTCCGGGGTTCTCCGCCCTGTTGTACGGTTACATGGTAGTTAGTAGGGTGACAGCGTCCCGGGGTGCTCCACCCCTGTTGTACGGTTACATGGTAGTTAGTAGGGTGACAGCGTCCCGGGGTGCTCCACCCCTGTTGTATGGTTACATGGTAGTTAGTAGGGAGACACCGTCCCGGGGTGCTCCGCCCTGCAGTACGGTTACATGGTAGTTAGTAGGGTGACACCGTCCTGGGGGCCCGGTGCTTGGGAAGAATCGGTCTCCAGCTCTACAGGACAAATGCTCCTGGCTCTGTGAAGCGCTCTGCTCGCTTACGCGCCCTTGTGGACAAAGCGCTGGTCGGGGCGACCTTGCTGAGACCAGGACGACATGAGGTGGAGCCAAGGCGTGGTGACATGGCCACAGGCTCACCTCGGAGTCACAGTGCCCAGGGACGTGGTCCTCAGGCCTGGCCAGCCTGCACCCCAGAAAGGGCAGGAGGAGCTCCGGGCTTTCGTGCGGGAAGGCGGAGCCACGCTGTTTTGGCTGGTGTCATTACGGACCCGCTGGCAGGGGAGGGCTCCTCCCGCCAGGCCGGGTAACCTGTGAGCTGTGTGGAAGGCCTTGCGAATGCACACCGGACCGGGCGCAGGGTGACGAGGACATGGGGTCGAGGTGCGAAGCGGGACCTCCCCAGGTCAGGGCGGGGTGCGGGCACGCATCAGCTGCTCCCTGCCCCTGGCAGCCAGGTCTGCAAGACGGGAACTGTCCTCCGAGATGAGCCGCGTGGCTGGCAGTCCCTCTGCTGCAGGTGCAGCCAGGACCCTGGCATTCCAGGAAGGACCCGCCAGAGTCGGCTGAGAAATCTTATCTGCCTAAACCTCTCGCCTCTCAGCCCTGCCGAAGCCTCGTCTGCGATTCGTCTTCCCGGTAGTCTTGTTCACAAATGTTTATAAACTTTAATGACATCAACCTTCCCTCAAATACTTTGATTTCGGTCAGAATCCATCACAGGCTGACCACGGCCATGCCCAGCAACGCCACGTGGACCGTGTAGACGTGAGAAAGGTGCGTTCGCACTGAGAAACTGGTTGGCTTTCCCAAGGACGGGGACAAGCACGATCCCAGCTCCACGTGAAGCAGGGATGGCATGGGACTGCAGGCCGGTGCCCAGGGGCCCGCTGGCTTACAGCGGGTTTTCTGCCTCCAGGGCCCCCGATTGCTCACTAAGAGGAAGTGGTTTGGCCTGGGACAGGGGAACCCCCATCTTGGGGTTTCAAAAACCTGGGGCTGTTCCCTCCTTTGCTGGTGGTGTGGCCGTGGGCTGACGATTTAACTCTTCCGAACCTCAGTCTCTGCGTTTGCCGAACAGGAGTGCTGAGCGCTGACCTAGACGGGAGGGTGCAGTGGGGTCGGGCCAGGGGCGGAGCGTGCAGCTCTGTCCGAAAGGCACGAAGCGGCGAGCAGCAGGGCCACAGGCAGACAGGGAGGGGAGCTGTGTCTACATGGGGTCCATGAGAGGGTTCTTGTCTGGGCACCGCTCTCTCGCTCTCACTCTCACTTAACTCACGCGCTCTGCCCCATGGAAAACAGCGCCCATTTGCAAATTCCAGTGCGCTGCTCTGACAGGCCCCGATGTGGTTTCCCAAGCTGCAGGGGGAGCTGGGGCGAGCAGGGCGGGCTCGGCTGCAGACACGGCCTCTGCTCAGTGTGGGGTGGCCTGCACAACGGCCAAGCTCGTCTCCAGTGATCCTAAAGCTCCTGGCAGCCCGCTGGCCTTCGGATTCTCGGGCAGGGTGGCACCAGCAGGCCCCTCGGCCCTGGCCGAGGCAGTCGGCCGGAGCTGAGAGCGCGTGCCCAGGTCCCGGGGCTCAGAGCCGGGCCCGCCCGGTGCTCGGCGCGGGGCTGCCCCCAGTGCTGGCCTTGCCCTCCCTCCACAGGTACTCCCCGCTGGGCATCGCCTGCCTCATCTGCGGCAAGATCATCGCCATCAGGGACCTGGAGGTGGTGGCGAGGCAGCTGGGCATGTACATGGTGACAGTGGTCGTGGGCCTCGTCATCCACGGTGGCATCTTCCTCCCCCTCATCTACTTCCTGGTGACCCGGAGGAACCCCTTCTCCTTCTTCGCCGGCATTTTCCAAGCCTGGATCACTGCCCTGGGCACCGCCTCCAGGTAGAAGAGCCGGCTTCTCCCTCCAGCTTCCCCTGACGTTCGAAGGTGGCTGTCCAGGTGGCGTGGCCGCGGGGAGGAGGGAGCTGGGAGCCTGGAGAGCAGAGGCGGGAGGACCCCGACCTCCTGGGCACACGTGCGCTGCTCTGTGGTGTCGCTTAGCGTGGATGCTGAGCGCGGGCGGTGCTGAGCGCGTCGCACCCAGCCGTGGTCTGGAAAGTGCTCACAAAACACCTTAGCATTGAGTCCGGGCAGACCTTTCACCGTCAGAACTGATGTTCGTGGCTTGGGGGGACGTGGTGAGACTTTCAGAAAGACGGAAGTCAGCAGGTCCCGACTCGGCATGGGCCGCCCTGCCGCGCTGTGTTCCTGCAGCTGGGTCGGACTTGGTCCAGTGCCTGCCTCAGGAAGACCCCAGGAACACGCAGAGAAAGTCATGTTTTAGAACATTGCTTGGACTGAATTTAGCAAAAATGCAACAAAACAAAAATAAGCAAAAAGAAGCATGTAAGAAGTACAAGACAATTTAGAATTTCAAAGACATAATTTGCATTTTTAAAATTTGCATTTAGACCGAAAATCTCACTCAGTCTTCGAGGCAGTTTAATTTCTGCGCAGAGTCGCTGGTTCACGGAACTAAAACCAAGGCCATAAAGCAGGTGGCTGGGAGTTAAGCGAACTCGAAGTCCGCCACTGTGGCCAGGTGTGCTGCCGTCCGCAGCTGGGCACTGTCGCTGAGGCGGCCACTCGGGCGCTGTGGCCGGCTGTCTCAGGGCCCCTGAGCAAGGCCGTCAGTCTCTCCCCCATGACCTCACAGATGACAGCGGTGACCCCAAGAAGTCAAACTTTACTTCCAGCTTGCGGGTCAGTGAGACCCGTGCCTGGACAGGGCTTTCAGGGACAGCTGAAGTGTGTCCCGGAGATCTGGGCCCTGCTTCCAGTCTCTGGAGACACGGGCACGTGGGAGCAGACCTCGTAGTCACAGCCCTCGTCCCTCCTCCTGCGCAGACAGTGCTGTGTGAACTGCGGTTCTCACTGGCCAGCGTGCCATAAAACTGCATTCGCCCGCATTTCTAAACCGCGCAGTGGCACCGCGACGCTGTGTGCTGCAGCGGAAGCCCCCTGCCCCACCCTGGGGGACCTTGCAGGCCTGTCCGTTAATCAGGGCGGGAGGAGCGCCTTAGACATACCCCGACATGCCCTCGGGGCAGATGTGCGCTCAGGGCAGACTTGCGAGGTGGCCACATTGGGAACGTATCCCCGATCGGATCAGAGAGCATGCCACGTCCCCTCCAAGGGCTCTGAGAGGATACTTCTGCCAGGCAGCAGCTCTGGGCAGCGTCCCTCCCCCGGCGCCCAGCCATACGGGGAAGCGTCCCGTCGGGCCGGCGTACCTCGTTTCTGGGGAAGGAAAGTCTCCCTAGCTGCTGGCCGCCCTGCCGCCCTCCCTGTGCCGGGGACGGGCGAGGCCCAGCTCCTTTTCCCCTGGTCGGCACCGTGTCCCCCTCACCTGTTAGAATATCCGCCGTATGTCCCGGGGCCAACGATGTCCCCCTCACGCATTTCTCTTAGAAATGGCAGTGTTTCTCACTTCTAGCAGTTTTTAGTTAGTACACACCAGAACTGGAGGTATTTTCTTTCAGCGCGTAAGGTTTGAAATATGGAAATACTGAGTGGGGCATCTCCATTCAAGATGGTCAAATACTGCTTTGTGTCCTCTTCCAATACATTTATGGTTCTGGTCTTAAAATAACTTCAAAAATGTATTTGTTTTCTCTTGAATGACCAGATCCTTGTAAGATAAGATGAGTCTCAAAGGGACTTGGAGGGTATAGATTCATATTTAATCAGAGACAAACGCCCGGCTTACCAAGAAGTGGTAGGCCCAGCTCTCCCCTTCCCTGTGTTTTGGTGGGGGAAAAATGTAGTTTCAAACTTCAGTTAAAATGAGGCTTTTGCCTGGGTGGGAATCTTTTCTTAAGAAGGCTATGTGGTGCGGACGCAAACCAAGCCCTCGCAAGTGTTCTTCGCCCTCTGGCCCAGGGCCTGCCCGCTCGGTCTCCCGACCACCTCCCTGGACCTGGCTCTGAGTGGGAGGCCAGCTGGCGCCTGGAAGGGTGGTGGCCGCGGGGGGCCCGAGCGGCCTGCCTGACCCACTGGCCCTGCTGTGAAACGTCATAGAAACAGAGGTTCACAGCGCCTCTCGGTGACACTCGAGAGCCGTCAGGGCCACCGGGAGAGGAGCCAGGCATCCGTGTCAGCGCCAGGCCCTCGGCGCTCACGTTCGCAGTGTCGGGCACATGTGGGTCTTCGAGGCCCAAGTGCAGCCTATCCGGGGAAGTAGGGCCCTCCCGCCGGCAGGGCGTCTCCCAGTCTGCGATTGCCGAGCCCTTCACTGCCGGCTTGGAGGGGCGAGCCCGGTGACACGTGAGTGTCCCTCCGTGGCGTCAGAGACCCGTGCTGGTGTCCTGGTGACCCTCCCTGTGGTCCCGGGTCAGGGGAGGGTGTGGTGAGAAGATAAGGGGGCCGACATGCTGGGACAACCAGGTGCCTGGCCCCCGCAAGCAAACGAGGGGAGCCCCGGCTGTCAGAGACGTTCGTGTCCTTCCCTGCCTAAGACCACAGAGGGGCGAGGCCATACCCTGGCCTGAACCAGAACGTTCTGGTGAGACGGCTCCGGCTCCCGGTCTGTGACTGGGAGTCCGGGGTCGGCGTTCTGGTAGGATGCGGGTTCGAATGTCCCTACCGTAGAGCCCTGGGCTCTGGGCTCTGAGCAGGCCCGCCTTCCATTTAGCTCCCCACGGCGCCGGCCTTCCTCGTGGCTGGGGGGGCG